AAACTTGATTGTCTTAGTCTTTAGTTGATTTTATTTTATTTTTCTACTGGAGAAGAAGCTTTTAGTTATTATTTTCCAATGATATTATTAGATTTTTAGCAATTTCCTTTGTATTTTTATTTTGCTATATGTTTATATATTTGAAGCAGGAATTCAAACACAATTTTTTTATTTAAATAATCTACAAATTAACACAATTCAAGAAAGTACTGGAACTTTGTAACGAGATAGCGCAAGTCATATATTGAGAACATTAGCAAAGCATAAAAAGACCACTGGATGTTGATCATATAATTGATAATACACCATATAACTCCCTCAGTCAATCAATAACTATTGAAAAAAAAAATGCTTCATCTTTCTATAAATGATCATCAAACTTCAATTGTTCCTCTGTTAGCTCATGCTCCTGATCATCAAACTTCAATTGTTCCTCTGTTAGCACATGCTCCTAGACGCCTAATCTTAACCCCTCAAATCTTTCAAGAATATTATCTTTGTCATTCATTAGTTCGTCTCTCTAATTCCTTCCTTTGCTGCAGTCAGTCTTTGTGTTTGAAGTCTCATTTCCTTCGTTTCTTTGTCCCCATCCATTTTTCGAATAAAAATCAAACCACTTACTTCATTTATCAGAAAATCTTCTATGCTATTTGTTGATTGTCTCAATAGCTATTTACAATTTGTGTTGAAGTTTAGTCATACTCTTTTACTAATGATTAGAAAACTTGATTGTCCTGGACTTTAGCTAATTTGTTTTATTTTTCTATTTCAAAAGAAGTTGTTAGTTGTTATTGTCCTACGATATTATCAGATTTTAAGACATTTTCTTTATATTTCTATTTTGTTGTATGTCTATATACTTGAAGATGGAATTCAATCAAATTTAGACTTTTTGCACAATCTTCTTGCTTCTATGATTTACAAATTAACACAATTTAGGAAAGTGCTGGAACTCGATGGCGAGGCAGTGCAAATCCTATGTTGAAAACATTAGCAAAGCATCAAAACCACTAGATATTGATCATATAACTAATAATACACCATATAACTCCACCAGTCAATCAAGAACTATCGAAACAAAAAAATACCTCATCTTCCTGCAGCTGATCATCAAATTTCAATTGCTCCTCTCTTAGCATAGCTCTTGCATGCCTAACATCAACTCCTCAATCTTTCAAGAATATTATCCTTACCACTCCATGACTCGTCTCTCTCATTCCTTTCTTTGTTGCAATAAGTTTTTGCATCAATATTCTCCTTTCCTTTGTTTTCTTTTTCCCCATACACATTTTGGATAAAACTTAAATCATTCACTTCATTTATCATAAAATCTTACACATTATTTGTTGATTATCTCAGTAGCTATTTCTAATTTCTATTAAAGTTTAGTCATAGTCTTTAGCCAATGTTTTTAGAATTTGATTTTCCTAGTTTATATGGTGATTTTATTTTATTTTTTTGTTGCAAAAGGAGTTGTTAGTTGTTACTATTTTCAAGCGACATTAGCAGATTTTTAGACATTTTCTTTGTATTTTTGTTTCGTTATATGTTTATATATTTAAAGCTAAAATTGAATAAAAATTCAAACTTCCAACACAAATTTCTTGCTTCTATAATTTATAAATTAATGCAATTCAAGAAAGTTCTAGAACTCGATCGCAAGACAACAGAAGTCTTATATTGAGAACATCAGCAAAGCATCATAAGACCACTAGATGTTGATCATATAACTGATGATACATCATATTATCGAAACAAAAAGGTACCTCATTTTCTTGCAATTGGTCCTAAAACTTTAGGTGTTCCTCTATTAGCACATGCTCTTGCATGCCTAATCTCAACTTTTCAAATCTTTCAAGGACATTGTCCTTACCACTCCCTGACTCGTCTCTTTCATTCTTTTCCTCCCTACAGTAATTTTTTGCGTCGGTAGCCTCTTTTCTTTCATTTTCTTCTTTCACTTTAGATAAAACTCAAACCACTCAATTTATTTATCAAAAAAATTTTCTGCACTATTTGTTGATTGTCTCAGTAACTATTTACTGTTTCTATTGAAGTTTAGTCATCTTCTTTAGCTGATGATTGGAAACCTTGATTGTCTTATCTTTAACCTGATTTGATTTTATTTATATGTTGCAAAAGGAGCTGTTATTGCTACTTACCAGCGACATTATCAAATTTTTAGTCATTTTTTCTTTATATTTATGTTTTGCTATATTAACAAAATTCAAGAAAGTGTTAAAACTCAATGGTGAGGCAACAATAGTTCGATATGGAGAACCTTAGCAAAGCATCACAAGACCACTAGATGTTGACCTTATAACTGATGATATACCACATAACTTCACCATTCAATCAAGAATCTCACCTTCCTAAACTGATCATAAAACATCAGTTGCTTTTCTGTTAGCACAGGCTTCTGCATGCCTAATCTCAACTCCTCAAATCTTTTAAGAATATTATTATTATCACTCCTTGACTCGTTTCTCTCATTTGTTTCCTTATTGTAGTTAGTATTTATGTCAGTAGCCTCATTTCCTTCATTTCTTCATCCCCGTTCATATTTCAGATAAAACTCAAACCACCCTCTTCATTTATCAGAAAATCTTCCTCGTTATTTGTTGATTGTCTTAGTTACTATTTGCAGTTTCTGTTGAAGTTTATTCCTAGTCTTTAACTGATGATTAGGAAATTTGATTATCCTCGTATTTACTTTATTTGGTTTTATTTTTCTGTTGCAAAAGAAGTTGTTAGTTGTTGCTATTTTCTAGTGATATTAGTAGATTTTAGTCAATTCCTTTATATTTCTGTTTTCTTATATGTCTATATATTTAAAGTTGAAATTCAATAAAAATTCAGACTTTTCATAGAATTTTTTTGTTTCTATAATTTACATATTAATACAATTCAAGAAAGTGTTGGAACTCGGCGGCGAGACAACCCAAGTGCTATATTGAGAACATTAACAAAGCATCGTAAGATCACTGGATGTTAATCATATAATTGATAATACATCACATAACTCTACTAGTCAATTAAGAATTATCGAAACAAAAAAAAAAAAAAAGTATCTCATCTTCTTACAATTGATCATCAAACTTCAGTTGCTCTTTTATTAGCACACCTCAACTCCTCAGATCTTTCAAGAATATTATCCTTATAACTCTCTTACTCGTCTCTTTCATTCTTTTCCTCACTGCAGTCAATCTTTGTCTTGGCAACCTCGCTTTCTTTATTTTCGAATAAAATTCAATCCACTCACTTCATTTATCTGAAAATCTTCTATGCTATTGGAATAATTTACTATTTTATCTGAAATACTCAATATAGAATCAGGATAATTGAGTTTAGATTTCTTAACAAACTGAGTTTTGAACATATATACACTCCAATTTTTGATGTTCATCTTGGGGTTTCTGCTATTTCTGGGGAACTTTTTGGTGTAATCGAGACTTTGTTGCCATTAAAGAGTGGTTAGCACAGGAGAGGAATCATCCATACGAGTTTCTTATTGTTGTTGTTGTTCTTCTCCTTCTCCTTCTCCCTGTCCAGGAGGATCTTGAGGTTGACTGGGGAGGGGCTTAACCGTTCAATGGTATTCGAGTGGGAAATGGGAAGAGCGGTGG